GGAGCAACAGTTGACACAAAGCAGAAGCTCTCCGAGGTTCGCGCGGAGTGCTCGGATCGGCGCTCGGTCCCCCTGCTGGCGCCTCCGGCAAGGTACGTTTATGTCATGGTCGGTTCCTCGGTTCTCCCGGTCGGTCACTCATGCTACCGATGGGGCTCTTGCTGCTCCTTCGCCTGTCCAGATCCCTCGTCCTTGCTGCCGTCGCACCTCTGTTTCGCCTCCTTCTTATCCTTCCTGAAGGGGCTCCTGCGACTGCCTGCGTCCAAGTTCTTTTGTTCTTGTTGTTTTTTTTGCGTGCGTGCTGTCTGTCTCTCTATCTCGGACTCTCTCTCATTCTCTGTCTCTCTCTCTCTCTCTCTTTATATATGTATATCTCTCTCTCTTTCTCTCTCTCTCTCTCTCCCTCACTCTCACGCTTCCTCCAGCCTCGCCCTCGCCGTGGCCAAGCAACTCAGCAGCGTCCGCGCCAACAAGTCCGCTCGCATTGTAGACCATGGCTGGCAGCATGCCGTTCCGCGCAGCTGTGATCGCCACCCTCCTCCTGGGCGGCGCTCGGGGCGCCGTGACACACTCGAGGTTCGTCTGCGGCCAGCAGACCTCTGTCAGCACGTCCACGTCCGAGGACGCCGCCGGCACGGCCGAGTTCTCGGAGATCATTACGGAGGACGCTGGGGTGAACACAGCGCTGCGGTTTTCTTTCTTGTGTTAATTCGGGCGTGTCCCTCTACAGGGTATATATTCAAACATGGCAAAACAAACAGTCAGAGGACATTTTTTTCGATTTTTGCATTTTTCATGTTCGTTCTGGTTTAGACTATGTGTTAGTTTTCCTCCAATATCCGCCTGTAGGAGGAAACGCTTTACCTAATTCTTGTGCGAGGGGTGTCCTCAGCCGAGGTCTGCTGCTTGCACCTCCTCGTAGCCGACGGAAAGCCATGACTCGGAGGGGTCGGGGAAGGGTGCGGACCTGCAACTGCGGAGTCTGCCAGGTTCCCTCGCGCACGCAGCAGAGGCAGGGGTTCTATCGTTCACGGAGCCAGGTCCAGCCGATGTCTCCAGTATCACGGAGGAGGAGGAGGTGGAGGAGGAGGAGGTCCCTCGAGACATTACGTTGAAAGGTCCTTTCTCAGTCTAGAGGCGGGTCTGCGCGGTGCCTGCCGCAACAGCTCCTACTCTTGCTCTCGCTCTCTCTCTCTCTGCCCGTCTCTGTTTCGTTTTTCTTTTTGTTAAGCTATTGTTTTTGTTTTGATGTTGTTTCTGTTTTGGTCTTTATTTTTGTCTCGGTCTCCGTCTCCGTCTCCTTCTCCGTCTCCGTGTCTGCCTCCGTCTCCGTCTCTGTCTCTGTCTCTGTCTGTCTCTGTCTCGGCCTCCATCTCCGTACGTCTCTGATTCGGCGCCTGAGGCCGCCAGCCCCCTCCGCTTCTCGGCGGACGGGCCCCCTTCCTCACTCCTCCGCGGCCGCCCTCTTCTCTTCCGCTCGCCTCCGCGGCCAGCGCCCGTCGCGCCCCGCCGGTACCGCCCCCCCCGCGCCTGCGATCGCCGGCGCCGCCGAGGAGCACAGAGAGTCGGTCCGTCTCGGTCTCGGTCTCCTGTCTCTTGTCTCTGGCCTCTAGCCTCAGGTCTCTAGCCGCTGGTCTCTTGTCTCTGGTGTCTAGTCTCCAGTCTCTGTCTCTGTGTCTCTGTCTCTGTGTGTCCGCAGCCGAGTGTGGAGCGAGCCCTGTGCTCAGACCGTGCTCACGGTGCAGGGCCCGACGGTGTTTCGAGATTCTGACGAGAAGGTCGAGCCTGAGTCCTCCAGACGGCCTGTGAAAGATCTATCAAGACTGGATTTGATTTCGCAGTTGGGGACTCTCTCTCTCTCTCTCTCTCTATATATATATATAGGGCATCAAAAAATGACATAAACATAACAACTCGGAGGTCCGCGCGGATTTCTCGGATCGGCGCTGGACCCCCCTCTCTGGCGCGCGGAGCGCGCCAGGGGCGGCGCCGGAGGCACCGCCGGGGGGCCCCAGCGCCGATCCGAGAAATCCGCGCGGACCTCCGAGTTGTTATGTTTATGCCACTTTTTGTTCCCCCAGAGAGAGAGAGAGAGAGAGAGTCCCCAACTGCGAGATCAAAGCCAGCCTTGATGATCTTTCACCAGCCGTCTGGAGGACTCTCTCTTTCTCTCTCTCTCTCTCTTGATTTCGCAGTTGGGGACTCTCTCTCTCCCTGCCTCCCTCCCTCCCTCCCTCTCTCCCTCACTCCTCCTCCTCCTCCTCCTCCTCCTCCTCCTCCTCCTTGATTTCGCAGTTGGGGACCTCTCGACGGGGCGCGGGCGTGCGGCGGGGCGCCGGCGTCGGCCCCCTGCGCGCGGCGCCTGGGCACCTCCAGCGGCCGAGGAGGCCCGTGGCCGCCGGGGCGCAGCGCCCGTTGGGGGCAGCTGCGGGTCCGGTGCTGTTCGTAGGGGAACAAAGTGATATAAACATAAAAACTCGCAGGTCCGCGCGGATTTCTCGGATCGGCGCTGGACCCCCCTGGCAGTGCCTCTGGCGCCGCCCCTGGCGCGCTCCGCGCACCAGGGAGGGAGGAGGAGGAGGAGGAGAAGGAGGAGGAGGAGGAGGCAAGAGGAGGCATGGGGAGGAGGCATGAGGAGGAGCAGCAGGAGGAGGATGATGAGGAGGAGGAGGAGGAGGAGGGAGGAGGAGGAGGAGGAGGAGGAGGGCTGCTTGAGGATGATGATGATGAGCAGGAGGTGGAAGGAGGAGGACCATACGCAGGAGCAGGAGGAGAAGGCAGGGAGGGGAGGGATGATGATGGATTGATGATGATGATGATGATGATGATGATGATGATGATGATGATGATGATGATGATGATGATGATGATGAGGAGGAGGAGGAGGAGGAGGAGGAGGAGGAGGAGGAGGAGGAGGAGGAGGAGGAGGAAGCCGGAGGCAGGCGAGGGGCCTCACAAACACGAAAACAGGCACAGGGATTACGTCGGATTGCTTTGGAGGCCTTTGGTGTTCTCTTGGTCGAAGAAAAAACGACATAAGCATAAGCCTTCGGAGGTCCGCGCGGGTTTCTTGGATCTGCGCTGGCCCCCCCTGGCGGCGCCGCCGGCGCTGCCCCTGGCGCGCTCCGCGCGCCAGGGGGGAGGGTCCAGCGCGGATCCAGGAAGGCGAAAGTTTATGTCTATGCCGTTTTTGATTGCTCTACCTGGGCCCCTCTCAGAGGCCTTGGGGGCCCTCTCGGGGCCGTCTTGGGTGGCATCGGCCAAGCAGGCGGCGGCGCCGATCCGCGCTGCCCCTCTCGAGTCCGAGCGATCGTCTTTTTGTAGCCAGCTGTGGGGGTGCTCTTGGGCGCTCTCGGGGCCGTCTTGGAGCCTCTGCATATGGTCCCTCTTAGGGCTCTCTCGGTCGATTTTGGAGCCATCTTGAGGCCGCAGAGGCCCATCATGAGCAGAATGGCGACACGGCGAGCATCATTGATATACCTTTCGGCTCTTCAGTGGTTTTGGCCCCGCGGGGGCGTCCTTGGGAGGCTTCGTGCCCGTTCCGCACCGTCTTGGGGCCGTCTCTGGGCCTCTTGGAGCCGTTTGAGAGTCCATCCTTGGAACAGAGGCCATCTTCGGTCACCTCGGACCCTCTTTGAACCGGCTTGGTCCAAACGCCTTCCAAGGATATTTCCGACCTGCCGAAGTCCTTCAGTCATCACTGGTGTGAAAAGGGGTTTCTTCGTACAACGGAGGCGCGTAAATTCGTGCTGGCCCCCCCCTGGAGCGTGAATCAGCGCCATGCTGCTGCACGGTCTTGGTGAGGCTCTTGGAGTCCTTCTGGGCACCTCTTGGAGCTCTCTGGGGCGTGCGCAGAGTTACATTTGAGACGTCAGGGGCCCGTCGGAAGCGACAGGGCGAGAGTGCAGAAGTCGTCGAAGCACTTTCTGTTCTGGGGTGTGTGTGTCAGAGGGCAACAACATATGTACATGTACGCGGTTTGTTTCCGCCGAATCGCGTTTGAACGCGGAGGTTCGTGCACGCAATACCGCGGAGGGCGTACATGTACACATATCGTTGCACGCTCAGCGTGATTCTGGCTTCTCCTGTGTCTTCTCGGAGAGCTCTGTGGTCACTCGGAGCCGTCTTGGGGCAGTCTTGGAGCCTCTTGGAGGCATGCTCGAAGCCGCCTTGAGCCATCTTGGACTATCTTGAGCCATCTCGGAGGCCATCTCGGACGCTCTGGCTCCCCGCGCCCCTCTCCCGCCCAGACCGGGGGGGTGGGGGGGTAGGAGAAGGGGTCAAATTCTAAACGGGAACGCCGCAAGCTGTCTCGCTCACTCTTGCCCGCCCTCCCCCCCCCACACAAGCAACACCACCCGAGACTCCGCATAGGCATAGGTCGCCATCGGATGTGCAGCCAACTCGAGACCAACACGGACGCCAGGGGCGCGACGCTCGAGAGGCGCGACGCGCGTGCCGGCCGCGCCACGTGCACCAGGTGCGCCAGGTGCCCGGAGTGCCCAGGCGCCTCGGGCGCGCCTAGTGCGCCAGATGCGCCACATCCTGCGCCTCTGCCCTCGCCCCCGCCTCTGCCCTTCCCCCCCTCTCCCTTCCAGCAGGTGCAGCCTTCCCCCCTCTCCTCTGCCCTTCCCTCCCCTCCCCTCCTCTCCTCTCCCTCTCCTCCCTCTCCCCTTCCCTTCCCTCCCTCTCCTCTGCCCTTTCCCCCCTCTCCTTCCTCTCCTCTCCTCCCTCTCCTCTGCCCTTCCCCGCCTCTCCTTCTACAATTACTCAATATGAATACTACTCTCCCTCTTCCCCTGATGACGGTTTGAAAGTGCTCGACCCCCCCCGCGTACTGTTTTTTTACACAGGTTTCCCCGGAGTTGGGTTTTCGCCTGCATTTTTTCCCTACCTAGGCTCTGCCTAGAAGGGTTCTTACTCGCTTGGCTTAAAGGGGCCGGGCAGTGCAAACCGCCCTGGGCGGTTCCCCCAGTCCCCTGGGAGCCAAGCAAAAGCAACAGCAAAGGTAAAAACAAACGCGCGGTTCCCCCAGTTGCGCTCCCTGGATGCCAAGCAAAGGCAAAAGTGAAGGCAAAAGCGAAGGCAAAGCAAAAGCATAACGCAGCATAGCATAACGCAGCATAGCATAGCGCAGCATAGCATAGCGCAGCATAGCATAGCATAACATAGCATAGCATAGCCTAGCTTAGCCTAGCCTAGCCCAGCATAGCATTGCGCAGCATAGCATAGCATAACATAGCATAGCATAGCATAGCATAGCATAGCACAGCACAGCATTCACTATTGCTGCTGCTATATATACATGTACTTATATATATATATATATATGTGTGTGTGTGTGCGCACGTATGTTCCATGCATATTGTCCGTCTGTGGGCCATCTTGAGCCCTTAGTGGGGCAGCTTGAGCCCGTAGGGTTCACGAAGGTTTCGCACATAGCACCGGCCGGGAGACATGAAACCCGACGTATTATCGCATGTCCTAAATGTCTTTCTATATATGCAAATGTATGTGTATATATACATAACACCCATGTGGAATGCTACATGTGTGTGTGTGTGTGTGCATGTATTTGTTCAGCACCGCGTCGTAATGCCTTTCATCCTCGTTGCCGTTCAGCCTCAATTCCGTGACTCGCAGAGCCACGCAAGAGCGTGCAGCAGTGTATTGCGTCATGCGGGCATTCTTACGGACCTCGAGTGGCGAGGCACGAGACCCAGCAAGCAGTGTTGAGCATTCTGCAGAGAACAATGTTCCAAACAATGTTGAACAACCTGCAGAGAATCCGGAGCATTCTCAAGCACACCCGGTGAGCGAATGCAACAACATGCGTTTTTGTGTGTCTGTGCGCAGGCAAAGCAAAAGCAAAACCAAGCAAAAACAACAACTAAAGCAAAGCAAAAGCAACAGCAACAACAAAAACAAAAGCAAAAGCAGAGGCAAAGGCAAAAGCAAAGGCAATAACAAAAGCAAAGGCAATGCAAAGCAAAAACAAAACCAATGCGAAAGTGTAGATGTAGATGTAGATGTAGATATAGGTGTAGGTGTAGGTCTAGATGTAGATGTAGGTGTCGATGTAGATGTAGGTGCAGATATAGATGTAGATGTAAAGAACTCCCCAGTGCCCCGCCCTCATCTCCGTGCCTGCTTGCTTTTGCTGCTGTCTCGGCGACTTGCTGCCTGCTTCTGCTGCTGCTTCACTTACGGCGTGGCGTCGGCGGTTCTGTCGCTGCCACTACTACTACTACGACAACAACAACAACAACTACTACTACTACTACTACTACTACTCCTGCTACTACTACTACTTGTACTACTACTACTACTACTACTACTACTACTACTACTTCTACTACTACTACTACTACTACTACTACTACTACGACTACTACGACTACTACGACTACAACTACTACTATACTCGCTACTACTACTACTACTACTACTACTACTACTACTACGACTACTACTACGACTACTACACCACTACTACTACTACTATATACTATTATGATTACTACTACTACTACTAATACTACACTTACTACTACTACTACTAGACTACTACTACTCTACTACTTCTACTACTACTACTACTACTACTACTACTACTACTACTACTACTACTATAATTTACTACTACTACTACTACTACTACTGACTATACTAGTACTACTACTACACTTACGACTACTGCTCGACTACTACACTACTACTACTACTACTACTACTACTACTACTACTACTACTACTTCTACTACTACTACTACTACTACTACTACTACTAACTACTACTACTACTACTACTACTACTACTACTACTACTACTACTACTACTACTACTACCGCTACTGCTACAACTACGACGATGAGGAGAAGGAGGAGGACGGCGTTTACCGCTCCTACTAATGTTGCTTTCCTAGAGGCTCCAACTCCTAGGTAGGGTCGCACTGGGATATTTTCAAAATGCTGCTTTCGCTGAGGCGCCGGCCTCATTTTCGGGCCCCGCGCGTGCCGAATCGTGCTCCCGCTGCAGCGCTGGCCTCATTTCCGTGCTTCCGCTCGTTCCGAATCGTGCTCCCGCTGCAGCGCTGGCCTCACTTCCGCGCTTCCGCTCGTTTCGACTCGTGCTCCCGCTGTAGCGCTGGCGTCAATTCCCGTGCCCTGCCACGGCATGCAATGCAATGCTCGGTTGATACTTTGCGGTGCTCTTCTACGCCATGCCATGCCGTGCTCTAAAATGCATCGCGTACCCTTTCGGGATCATTGCCCTGCTCGACATCCGACTGTCCGAGTAGAGAGGGGATCTACGCCATGGTAAGGGATGGGAGGGAGGGGTAGGATGTCAGATATGACGCGAGCGCGCCTAGCTTGGCCTCCCCCCCTCTCCCCTTCCCCTCCTCTCCCTCCCTTCGGAGCCCTCAGGGGGATTCTTAGACTTGTTGGAAGTTTCTCGGGGGTTCGGACTGCTCTCGGGGATGTGTACGGTAGCATCCGAGACACTTAGACTGCGTCTTTGAATGTTTCAGAATTCTGGATAAAATCGCTGCCCCGTTGGTGCAAGGTTCCCAGCACCTTACCCCCCCGAGCAGGACGGTAAGTGCAACATGATCCAGAATGGGGGCGTGAAGTCGGTGAAGTTTTGCGGCCCTGGCAAGCTGGTCCTCTCTCGCATGACATGCAGCGAGCACCACGAGTACAAGGCACAGGTTGTCGAGCACAGTTCGAGCGAGTACACCACGAACTGCGAGACCATCCCGCTGGCGGGTACTGTTGTCGAGGGTTGGCTTGGGAGCTTCACTACAACTTGCTGAGCGCTGCCAGGAACATCGACAGTGCTACGGTAGTTTCTGCGCTGTCTGATGTAGAAGCATTGGCTAACGCGCGTGGGCAAAAGGAGAAAAGATCAGCGCTGGCTCTTTTCTGTAATGGCGCTCTTCCTCGTACCATGTTCTAGCACTCTTGCACGCGTGACTGCGACTTGAAGCGCGCACTCTGCATGCGCGTGTGCGCGCGCGCACAAAATTCGTGTGGCTCACCGACGGAACAATGGTTCCATGAATGTCTGAGAATGTTTGACCGCCATGAGGGCTTCCTGACGACTTCGGCGCCCCGACAGGCCTCCCAAGTTGTGCGCCAGGAGATGCTGCTTTCAGCATGGCGTGGTTGCGCTCTTCCGGGTGATTCCGCCGGTCTTCGTGCCATACTTCGATCTGGACGAGCGTTCGGGGCTCCGAGGCGTGTCTTCAGTTGTGCGCGTGGACTTTCGCTGCGCTCGGGGTGAGAAGTGCTCTGCACGGAGGGCTCCCGAAACAGAGACTGCTGCAAGTCACGAGCTACGAACATAGCCGTAGCCGCGCCCTCGCGGTCTGGATTCTGGGGCGCGATCCCGCGGATACGCCGTCGCACGGATATGTTCTGCGGGGGGCATCCGCGAAAAAGCGCTCCGTAGCCGCGGGGTCGCGGCCCGGGGGCCCGGCCCGCGAGGCCGCAGATACAGGGCGTTTTTCGTCCACGAGCAAGGACTATCTCAAATGTCCTCAGGTCCGTCTTGCCCCGCGCGAAAATCAGTCTGGAGAGCTTCCATGGGGGGCCAAAGCGTCGACTCCGCCCTTTGTCCTTGTGAGCGTGGCCGTGCTCTTGAGCGCCATGTGCTCTCGATCCTGAGCTCAAGCCCTCATGGGGGATGATATCGGTGAGCTTCGAACCCAGAATTTGAATGTATCATTTTTTCCCCTCGCGAGTATCTGACACCCTTTCTTGGTGCTCTTTGAGCTGGTGGTGCTGCTGAAAGGATGCGCTCTGGAAGGGGCGTATGTCAGCGCGTCGCTAGATGGCGATGTGGGTGTGATTGAACGTATACATACCGTCTTCCATCTATTGGCGGCGCGCCGGGGGGAAGTGAGAAGAGACAGGCCTTCTCAGAAGGCGGCGGGGCTGCTCGGCCTTCTGAGAAGCCGTTTTCCGTCTGCAAAACTGGTGGGCCCGCACACGGATATACCCACTGCACTGACAGGTTCTCTTCGAGGTCTGGGCGCAGGGCATGGGTGGGGTCTCGGTCAGCTTCGGTCCGAAGGACAGGTACGATTTTTATCGAGCCAGAGTCGACGATAGCGGCGAACAGTCCAGGGGGGGCATTACATGCGTTCGCTGGCGAGCCTCGCCGAAGGCATGGACCATCGGTGCCCCCAGATACACGTATTGCTTCCCCCTCGGCTATTCGCCTCCATCGTCGCCTCCGGTAGAGGGGGTCAAGCCTCGCAGTCACCGATTTTGACTATGCTTTTCGCGTGTCCCCGCCAGCTCACCCAGCGGGGAATGTCGCGCCTCTTTCCGGAAGGACTCTGACAGTCCTCTCCAGGGCTGGTGTGGGGGTCATTCCCGCCCCGATTCGTCAGAGGTGTTTGAGGCGTATCACCGAGGTGTATAGCAACTCCGAGTTGGTCCGCAAGGCCCACAAGCGGCCTTCGTAAGTGTCTGCAGGACGTCGACAAGGCCCTTCTCCTTCCTCCCCGGCGCGAAGGGCCCACCACAGCCGGGGGCCCTTCTCGCTCGAGGGGGGGGTGCACCAGAGGAGGAGGAGGAGGAGGAGGAGGAGGAGGAGGAGGAGGAGGGGGAGGAGGAGGAGGAGGAGGAGGAGGAGGAGGAGGAGGAGGAGGAGGAGGAAGAAGAAGAAGAAGACGAATCATACTAAGAATACGAAGAATAATAATATTGATACGAAGAAGAATAAGAATACGAACAATAATACTAATAATAAGAATTCGAATCATATTACTAATAATAATAATAATGGTATGATAGTAGTAATACTAATACTAATAATACTAATAATAATAAGAATACTAATAATAATATTAAGAAGACTCATACTAATAAGAAAAATAAGACGAATCATACTAAGAAGACGAACACGAATAATAATACGAATGGTATACGAATCATACTACTAATACTAATACTATTACTAATAATATTATTAATATTACTCATAATAATATTAAGAATAATAAGAAAATAAGAAGCATAAGCATAAGAAGACAAAGAGGAGGAGGAGGAGGAGGAGGAGGAGGAGGAGGAGGAGGAGGAGGGGAGTTTGAGTGGGAGGTGCAGGACGGGGCGGTTGCCACCCATGTGCGCATGCTTCCTCCTCCCTTCCCCCCCCAGGTCTGATCTGATCTGGGCCCGTAGGGTCCAGCCTGGTCATGCCGCCTCTCGTCTGGTCTGGTCTGGTACGGTCAGGTCTTGTGCGGTGCCGCTTGGTCTGCATTGGTCGAGTGGAAGTGTGAGGGGCAAAAGGATGAGGAGTAGGAGATGCGGGCAAGAGAGCGAACCTACAGGTAAAGTGTGGAATGGGGTGACATCCTGCTCCAAGGCCTGTGGGAGCTCTCTGCTCTCTCAGGGACCTGGGCTTCTTGGATGCGCTGGGCTCTCTTGGGGACCTCTTGGCAGTGCTTGGATGGACCCCTTCGGAGCCTGTTGGAGCCAACTGGGGGGACTCTTGGGCCGTCTAGGGGTGGGTGGTGGCCGAAACAGCACACCCCTTTGGGGCCATCTTGGAGGCCGAATTGAGCAGTATGCGCTGGGTTAGAGAGCTTTTTCCCCACCCTACAGGTTGAGGTCGTCCGATTTATAGATCAGACCTCCCGACCCGTCCACCCTGTATACAGCGGCCGCCAGATCCCCAGGTCCCCCGAGTGTCCCCGAGTGTTTTATAGCATTTTGTGTAAATCTTGAAAAACCTATGGTTTTCTTAAGATTTCGCAAGAGCTCGCGCGGAAGCTTTTTTAGCAAATCAGTGTTGCGAAACCATGTGTTTTTGTATGTTTTTTGGGAACTCGATTGCGACATTTTTCCGGCACCGAAGGTTTTTGAAGGATTTCGGCATGCGCGCGCGACGACGCGCGCGTGTGCACTTCGTCCCATTGTTTGCAAGGGATTCGTGAAACAGTGTTATGTTAGAACACAAAATGTCACCGCATAGTGTTTTTCACAAGGGAACCTCAGGGGGGTCGATACCGGCCCCCCTGGGACATTGTGATTTCATAGTTAGGATGGACATTTGGTCAGAATCATATGTAATTTACATACCCGAAAGGGGTAGCGATAACTCCAGGGGGGGGGGTAGATCTTATTCTGTTTTAAGAAAGGAGAATCTATGCGGCGTGAGCTACGTGGTGCAATCAGTGTGGTGCAATCGGTGTGGTGCAATCTGTGAGATGCAGTAGATGTCGTGCAATCTATATGGTGTGAGATGTGTGTTGTAACCTATGTGGGCTGAGCTACGTGGTACACATTACTTTGTACAAGCTATGTGGTGCAAACCAGGTGGTGCAACCTATGCGGTGCAACCTAGGTTTGGCAATACACGTATACGTAGCAATCTAGGTTTTGCAACCTATGCGGTGCAACCTAGGTTTGGCAACCTATGCGGTGCAGCCTATGTCCTTTACTTTTCTCTCTTAAGATGGGGTCCCAGGGGGGGGGGGGCTAGCATATATATATATATATATATATATACATGTATATATATATAAGACTGCATTGGCGCTGCGCGCCATGCACCTTGGTCCTTTGGTTCCGCACGCAAGCGGAATGCGTGCGTGCGTACATGCGCGCATGCATGTATGCACGCGCACGCGCATGCACGTTCCGTATATATATATATATATATATATATATATATATATATATATGTGTAGGTGTACACAATATACTTACATTGTTGTATGTGTGTATACAGCGTACATATGTGCATATACATGTATGCGTGCAAGGGTCTGAACATGCATATGCAACTCGTACGTGCTTTGTCGATGCACGTATGTATATGTATATGTATATGTATATGTTTATGTATATGTATATGTATATGTATATGTATATGTATATGTATATGTATATGTATATGTATATGTATATGTATATGTATATGTATATGTATATGTATATGTATATGTATATGTTTATGTATATGTATACGTATATGTGTATGTGTATGTATATATATATATATTTATGTATATGTATAGGTATATGTATATGTGTGTGTATATATAGCCATTCCAAGGGAATGCGCGCGTAGGAGTCCATTGCCTCTCAGGGGCTTCTGGGACCCCTGGAGGCCTCACGATCATCTCGTGAAAGTTGTTGGGGGCATCCTCGGGCATCTTTGCTGCATGCCACGAGACCCTCAAAGACTGGGTCACAATGCGGAATGTCATGGGAGCAAAATCAATGAATGTTGGCATTCGGAAACGTCGTGGGGGTGTTTTCGGGGCCCTCGTGGGCCGTTTTGGCGTCTTCATGGGCCGTCCTGGGGACTTCTTGGGCCGTCTTGGGGAGCTTGGGCTCGCTGGAACCCCCTTTGGACCCATCTTGGGCACTTCTGGGGAGCTCCCATGACCCTTTTGGGTCTGTGCTGGGAGCCCTTGGGGGGGTACTCTTGGGTCCATTATGGGCTGTCTTGGGGCTCTCGTGGGCGATCGTGGGGCCCGGCTCGGCCGTCTTGAAGCTTTCTTGGGGGCCTCTTGGGGCGTTTTGAGGCGATCTCGGGGGCTTTGAAGCCGTCTTGAAAGCTGATGAAATCCGAAAGGCGAATATGCTAAAATTGTAAGTTTTATGAATGGAGTGAGACGATTTTTGTGTTCTGAAGGCCCCTTGGAAAGCTTTTTGGGGTGCCTTGGGTGTCTTTTGGGCCGTCTTGAAGCAATTGGAGTCCCTCTTGGAGCGCTCTTGTGCTGTCTGGGGCCTCCCTTGAGCCTTTCTGATGACCCCTCTGATCGCTCTGGGTCTGCTGGCAAGGCGTTTGTGGAGACCCGGAAAGCCGGGTGACCTTTTCCAAGGACGTCCAAGGGAGCCCGAGAACCCCAGATCCCGGGGATCCAGTTTTTTTTTGGGGGGGGGGTGGTGATGGTTTCCCCCCCCCCCCCGGGCTTGTAAAAATATAGGAAGAGGAATATCCACATACGCATCTGTGGTGTAAGCTATGTGGTGCAATCCACTTTGACCGTCTTGAAGCTGTCCTCTCTACTGCTCGTGCAAACATCCCACCCTCCCACCCGCAACTTGGTCGCAAGGCTTCTTCAGACAAGACCGTGACGGTAGGTACCACATGGCACTTGGCCACGACACCGACGCCGACGACGACAGCGACAACGACGACGACGGCGCCGCCGACACCGACTACGACTGCACCGCCGACGTCGACGTCGACGAAGACGACGACGACGCCGACGCCGACGACGACGACGAAGACGACAACGACGTCGCCAACGAAGACGACGACGAGGGAGGAGGGAGGAC